TGTGTCATGGTGGGCTCAGAAAAACCTTCCTTTTATGTGTTACACGATTTTATAGTCAGTAAAGCACTATTTATTTAAAGCATGTTGAATTCATTAAGTTGTGAGCCACTGCAAATATGTGTGCACTTGCCATATAGATCTCATATGTTAACTTGATTCTATAAACTATTTACAGCAATTGATCCTCTGATTTTTATATTTTTATCTCTTTGCTCTTGCAGCTTTCTGGTTGTTTGGTCTTATGCTTAAGGCGAGGGGGGTGTTGGTGGTTTATTCTTTTAAGAAAGCCACACAATTCTTTAAAGTGGCACACAGTTATTTTAAGTGTACTTTTTCAATCTTTTTAAAGTAATTTATAGTTGAACAGTGGAGACTTTGTTGTGGTCCCTGAAGCTGGCAAGTGCCTGCTGCCTGTTGGATTTTTGACTCCCTGAACTGTAACTTTCAAAGGCATTTATCCAGATCACAGTCTACACAATCATGTGTGTTAGTGAAAAGTAGCATGTAGTGTCTGCCTTCAGAGAAATCTTACATTTGAAAGAGGCCTTACATAACTGCATGTTTTTTATTAAAATGAGTAATGTTTCTAGCTTGTATTCAAAAGCTTCAGTTAGACTTTTCAGATAATAATTCTGTGGTCTCTGAAAACCCTATCCATTGTAGGGCTGCCCATAAACTTTGGAAGCAGAACTTGCCAAGTATGATGGTGTTTCATTGTCTCACTTTGTTCAAGCTAGACTCAGAGTTTAAAAAAAAACATAATGAAGGGCTGTTTCTCATAGTGGCAAGCAGAACTCATGAAAACTTTTCATTAAACATTTTAATGAGAAGTATTGCTTTTCTCTATTGCCACAAAATCTATGTCTTCAGTGTCATTTAAAATATCTCTCAATTATGCAGTAAATTATTTGAATTTGGATTTCATAATCCAATATTCCATGTATTTCTTTTCTTCTCTAGATAGAACTTTTAATTTTAATTAGGCTTTTAATTTGGACTGTTAGTAGTTTTGCCTATTAGTGGAACTAAAAAAATATTACAGAAGATTCATTTTGCTAATTTTAAGTTGAAGGTCTTTTTACTACTTAATTTAATTCTAGCAGTATTTATTGTATGAAAGGAACAGCTGTTTTCTGCTAGTTTGCTTTTTTTCTTTCTGATTAGTTTGGCTTTTCTTATTTCTCTAATCACTCTAAGGGCCTTTTTTTTTTTTTTAAGGACAATCTTGGAAACAGCAGACTCTACATTATTTGGTTGGGGTCACACCCACACAAATTTAGGGATGTTAAGTAATAGAAAATGTAAATGCAAGTAAGTTTTCATATGTCAGTGATAAGAATGGGGTCAGAGAAGTGCTTTGACAGGTTCATTGGTTATCCTGGAAGTAAGTTTCTCATACTAAGAGTTAACTAATGTTTTTTTCTTTTTCTAGCTGGAAATCTTGTGTTCAGTCAATATTCTACAGTTCATATTTATTGCACTCAGACTAGATGAGATCATCAGATGGCCATGGCTTGTATGTAACCAGTGTTTTCTTTTTATCTTTGTTTAAATGCTGAATTTCATACAGATATTTATTGTAGGGAACAGTTAATACGTGGTCAGTCCATGATCCCATTTTTGCTCACTTAGCAATCCTTCACTGAAGGTCTGGCACACCATTCAGTGGTCATGGCAATCAGGGGCTGTTCTTTGGGCACATCATCCTCTGAGGGAGAGGAATGTGCCATCAGCTGCAGTTCATTCTGAGCAGCAGTTGAAAGAGAAATCCTCACCCAAAGTTCCCAATGGGAACACTAAACAAGCCATGACAATGATTGGTGAGTTAGAGAATTGGTTAATAACTACTTCTATTTGTTGTGTTACCATGAATGTAAATCCACTTACTGTGCAAGTAGTCTTTGTCAGAACTGCTGAGATGTCCTGTCCCAAGTGCCTTTAGAACAAAAGTGCTGTTTCTGTGTCTGGGTTTCTGCCATAAAACTGACAATCTTTCTATTGTAAAAAAAAAAAAAAAAAAACTTGAGAAAGGATTGAAACTCTTTAAGGTATCCAGTGTGGAAGTACTTACTAAAAATCAAGTACAGTTTGAGCCCACACAAATCACAGAAGTCCTTCCTAAGTTGAACTACATTGCCTTAATTTTAAATTGTTTCAGCTTGATGGGGTTTAGAAAGCTGAGAACCCCTGCCCTGAACTGATTATGTCTTGAAACAACACACATGAGCTTGATGTCTTTCTGTTAGACATTATATTAGTTAAAGACTTCATTTTCTTGTTTAGGCTTAATATGTAGGCTCGCTTTATTTAAAAAAAAAAAATCCTACAGCTGAAACAAATCAAATGTGTCCTTCTTTCAGGTTGTCTGTGTCCCTCTGTGGATCTTGATGTCCTTCCTGTGCCTGGTGGTGCTCTACTACATCGTGTGGTCTGTGCTGTTCCTGCGCTCCATGGACGTGATTGCTGAGCAGAGGAGGACACACATAACCATGGCTGTCAGCTGGATGACAATTGTAGTTCCACTGCTCACATTTGAGGTAGAAAAAGCCACAATGAGTTTGATGTGTCTTTTTCTTTTTTCAGTAAGAAATGAATTATGATTTATGAACTTACTGAAATTAGAATGCTGCTCTTTGTTTTGGAAAAAATATTAACAGCAAAGATGAAACACAAACAAGAATTCTATGTTCCTTTAATGTTTCTTGAGTAAAATTTGCATCACATTGGAACTATAACTACCTTCTTCTGTGAAGGCCACTTTTTCTCACAGATGTGTGAAGTTAAAGATTTCAGATCAGCATATGCTTTAAGCAGTTTGAAAGTGAGTATTGCAATTAAACTGACATTGTATAATTTTTTTCCATTTAGATCTTGCTAGTACACAGACTGGATGGGCATAATTCTTTTTCTTTCATACCCATATTTGTTCCTCTCTGGCTTTCACTGATAACATTAATGGCAACAACATTTGGACAAAAAGGAGGCAATCACTGTAAGTATTTCAGAATCCTGGAAACAGATTAAAAATCAGTGTATTTTATTAAGATTTCTATTTTCAGAAAGGACTTTTCTGTTACTACTATTTTCAGGCAGTTGTAATAAGGTGTCAGTGCTTACAGGGTCCTCCCCTGTGGCACTGTTTACTTTGGTTGAGGTGCAAAGTCTTTGGGTTTCTTCTCTGTACTGATGTGACCCAGCACTGTGTTATGTGTGAAAGGAAATGGATTCTTGCAGGGGTGGTGTAGCTGTAATTTATGCAGATGGATATACACACAGGCATGCATGTGCAGACATGGAGCTGTGCAAGTGCTTGTTCAGACTGTCTGTGTGTATATAACCTTAATTGTAATGTTCTGATAGGCATAAGGAACGCTGAGAAGCAGCATTAACAAATCTTATTTATATGCAAAAAGTCAAGACACCTTCAATAGTCTGTCTACTAAATTAAGTGTTCATTCTGTTAATAATGTAAAATGATTTTGTTTCTTTTAGGGTGGTTTGGAATTCGCAAAGACTTTTGCCAGTTCCTGCTTGAAATTTTCCCATTCTTGCGAGAATATGGAAATATCTCTTATGATCTTCATCATGAAGATAATGAGGAGACAGAAGAAACACCACTGCCTGAGCCACCAAAAATTGCACCAATGTTCCGAAAAAAGACTGGAGTGGTCATTACCCAGAGTCCTGGAAAATATGTGATTCCACCTCCCAAGTTAAACATTGATATGCCAGATTAAGATGACAGTAGCATATTAAACTTGAACTGGTCATCAACAGACAGATGTATTTCATCTCATGCCTTGTCCCAATTCCTTTAAAATAGGTATTGCTGAATCAGTGGCTTGGATTACACAAATCAGAAATGTTGAAGATAATCTGAGTGCTTTTCCAGAAATATGTGGTTGTCTAATTTGTGAACCTTCCTAACAGGTTGGTTGCACGCTTGCCTGTATAGTATTTATATGAACATTTTTAGCAGTGTAATATATTGTTTAAAAGTCCTGTTGTGTACAGTATAAGTATTATCTAAAAGTATTTTTTTAAAAACCCTGTATGAAATGCCTATGCTATTCCAGGTGTCTTTTAGGTCCTAAATATACACTTTTCATGTCTCTTTTAAATGCTTTGGGATGCCTTAGCATAGTACCTCTTTACTTCTTTCTCTGTTCAGCTGCAATCATCAGAGGCACAAGAGTGTTGCACTTCTGAGGCAACACTGGAAACCTTTTTTTGGGAGGGGAAGTAGAATGTATGGTGACTTACATGATGCTTTTGAGTTAGCTGTGTAAATACTCATGTAAGTATTTCAACTTTTGTGCTGGCTTGGGAGTTACATGTTGTTTTTGTTGCTTTTCCAGTTTCATGTTTTGATTCTTCTCGAGCAGCATGTACCATTCTCCCATTAGACTGGCTGTTTAATAAGCTGTTTCTCACATTTGTGTGATCTGTGCCAGAAACATTTGTGGTAGGTTTCACAGCTATTGGTTAGCTGGTATAAATATCATAGCTTGGTCTTTGTTACCAGCTCTGTGTTGGTTACTGTAAATGATTAAACTTTTCAAGATAGGATCTTGTTGGTGTTGGCATAGCATTTTCTTGTCTGAAGAAAGACCTGCTTTGACAGTGTGCCTTGGATTTACAGGTGCTTTGGAGAAATGGAGTCTACAAAATGTGTAGTCCTGTAGTTTATAAAACCAGATGTCTCATACTCCCAAAACCTTGTAGCTGCTCTCTGTTTGGGTAACCCACGTTTAGATAGTTCAAATACCACGGGTCTCATTTTTTCAGTGTTAGATGGCAGGAAGAGCAAGGAGTGTGTGAGCATTTCTGCATGTGTACACATGCAGAAACACATGCAAGGTGTATGCCTGTAAAACTTGGATGCAGCACTTCCATTTCTGATGCTCCAGAGCTTCCCTTTCTTGCCTGTGGACCAGCTACTGCCTGAAACCCAACCCAGCACTGTCCCATCCCACAGCTGAAATTTTGTTGCAGTTTTATTTTATATATATATATATTATTTATATATATATTATTATATTCTGGTTCAACAAGTCAAACATCAGTGGGATTGTCACTGGACATCAATTTGCCTGCACTACCATGGAGAAGAAAACCAGAGGCAGAGTTTGCATGAGAAACCACGTCCCAGGAGGAGAGCAGTCCATGCACAGCAGGGGCAAGGGAGAAGAGGCACAGCTCTGCACTGGGAAGGTCTCAGCCTCAGTGCCAAGGCAGCCCCTTGGGCAGTGCTGCCCACAGAGCTCCATCTGCTGCTGCTCAAACAGGGGGAGCTGCAGCCTCTGCACCTCCCCTTCAGCTGAGGCACAGCAGGGCCTGCATGGGGCCAGGAACTGCTCAGGGACCTTCACCCTGCCCTGCAGTCACTTCCCACCCCTGGGAAGCTCAGTCTGTCCCCAGGTCACAGCCCAGCTCCCCGTGGGGTTCAGAGCTGGAGCTGCAGGCACTGGCCCAGGGCCACAGCTCTGGCACAAGTGCTGTAGTCCAAGGGAACAGCTTCCCAAGTGCTCCAGTAAAGTGTCTGAATACTGAGACTCTGCCACTTGTGTCCTGTTCTAGGTGTGGCCTTGCTCCAGAAAATCAAAAGGATTTTCACTGTAATGTAGGGTGTGAATTTTAAAAAACTCCTGAGAGTGCCAAAGCTTAGTGGCTATTATTTATAATTCTTCACACTAGTTTTAAATTCAGTATTATATTTTCAAAGACAACTAGTATTTTTCATCTTAAATAAGAGGAAAAAAATTAATACTTGCTCAATTTCATGTTGTACAAGCACCTGCTCAAACTGGCCCTTCTGCAATGTCTGTCAGGTCACAGAGCTGTATTCATCATATGCACATCTTGTGTGCCTGAAATGTGAATGAAAAGAATCTATCCTTAAGGCAGGACAAGGAGTGGTCTGGGACAGCTGTCCTAGAACTTGTGGCAGCCTGCTTTTAAGCACCATTTTCTTATAATCAGAGATGCAGGTATCAAAAAATAATTTTAATTTACATTTAAATTGGCACACAATGTATAAATGTACATTTAAAAATGGCATTTACTTAGTTGCTTATACAGAAAGTCTAGAAAAACAATTTCATGTAATAGTCATAAAGACACATCTTGTTTGTTTTGCCTCAAAAAGCAGTTCTTCAAATGTATTTGCCATTTCAAATGGTTGTGGAATAGAATCCTAGACAGGATGCTGATGTAATTCACCAGTCAGCATCTTAAATACAAGTCTGCATTATAGGCAGGAAAAAATCATAGTAAGGGGCAACAGTTACAATTCTGAAGGGATCAGTTCTTGAGGGATATCCACCTGCCACACCCCTGTTCTCCCTCTGGCAGGAATTGGTTCCAGGAGCCATCTGGGATTTGAAACAACAGTCAAGTATTTCTGTTCTAAATTACTGAGGACAGCTTTGTTTTCCAGCTCCAGAATCTCTTCAGGAGGCAGGTTTTCTGGATATAGTGATGTCTCTCCAACATCAATTAATCCTGTATATGACAATTAAAACACAAAATTAGTTGACAGTTTGATCTCCTAGAGAAAAGTTTTCCACAGGTAGCCCTCCCTGAGGCCACAGAACAGCCACTTTGTTACCAGAAGGGCACAGTCAGAGGGAGGCACACCTCCCACCTGTGCTGTTTGCTGCAAAAGTCCATGTGACAACTCAGGTGGGCGAGGAAAAGAAGGAGGGAATAGTTAAAATCACCACAACCCAGTGCTGCAGAACTCCTTGAAAAGCAGCCTGCATCTAAGGAGACACAGCTGCTACCAAAACTCCTGAGCTACATTTGGACATGGAGCAGCTTCAGTAAAGCATAAAACTCTCTCTGCTCCTCTTAAGCCACTATTCTATTAACATTTTTAAATCATTGAACTATTTTGAAATTCCTACCTACACCACAATTAAGCATGCAATTTATGTTAAGGCTGCAAACCTACGTATTATGTAGGACCTTCAGTTTTTAGCACTGCAGAACCACAACGTTCAGTGTATGTGATAGAATTCATTTGTTGTGCAGGAATAGATAAAAGTATTCAAATGACAGTGAAAGATGGTGTAACAAAGATACCTACAACAAAATAGTACAAAATGAGCACTAAAAACTTTTTAAGTGTACAGTGCACATCTGCTCTATGTCAGCACAGTTTATGCACTGAAACATCACTGCCTCTTCACTGTGTTACAGAAACAAACTTCTTCACCACCCAAATATCAAAAGCAACACAGGGGCCTTGTAAAACTGAAATAGGATTTATTTATGTAATTATTTATGTATACTTTAAAAGGGCATGCACAGTGCTGCAACATCGTGAATTTGCTTGACCACGAGTACTGCACAATGGTTCGGCAAGAGTTCCTAAGCTCAACATGCAAGAAGTGTGAAACTGACACGTATTGTGCTGAAACATACAGAATTGAAATAGACCCCCCCATCAAAACTCATGCTCCACTCCTTCAAAGTGTTAAAATGTATCATAATGAGTGCAAACACATAGAGCAGATGTATATTTCAATGACTGTTAAGGGAATGAAAGTTTGTTTACAAAATATAACCCAAGGATACTTACCTGCAATAACTCCTCTGCCATATTTTTCCCCTTCATCCAACAAATCCTGCAGTTGTTTTGGTGTCATGCCGAACCTATTCAGAAGAATTTCTCTCCATGTTTCATCTTCCCAGTCCTTAACAGCTATATGAATAGCAATGGTGCTGTTCTTGTAGCCTGCTAGCAAAGGACGCCAGCGGGTCTCTACTGTTTTGACTTGGTTTAGAAGCAACCCTGCGTAGGGCTGTCGGAAGGAAAGGCAACCGAACTTCATCGTGCTCCTCGCATTAGAGGCCGCTTATTTCCTGTAAACACAGAGGCCCGGGGATCAGTCTCCAGCAGCGGCCGATGCCCGCGACAAGCTGGCGGCCCTGCAGCCGCGGAGCTGC